ACAGCTGGCACACATACCTATGGTACGACAAAGTAAAAGTGCACAAATCATCTTTGAAGATCATTTCATTAGAAAGCTTTTATTAAAAATTTGGATATCCCAGTAAAAGAAATTTTATAGGAAAATACCAGGATGGATTTCCACCCAAGAATATTTCAGGGGAGATTGATACAACATAGAAATTGGATTAAATATGAAAAAGATCTATGTATTGATGTTTTGAAGCAAATTAAAGTGGTCACTGATAGGGGTTGCCCAATGGACAAATGTGTCCATTATAGCCAGGTTGTAAAAGCTACATCTCTTTCTCCATTACAGCACCGCTGTTGAATTTTGGCTTACCAAAAGAACTACTGAACATTTTACTAGCGCAGTATGGAACAGCGTAACAAAAAATAAATAAAACCCCACCACGACTAAGCATGAGCCAAACAAGAGCACAATCCAATGCAAGCTCAATCCAAGTCACGTCAAAGTCAATGGAAACTCTTGCTGGCTTCTGTAGGTGTTGGGCAGAACCCCAAAAAGAGCAAAAGACATTTACGGCACAGATGACTTTGGAGTATTTTTCATCCTCTTTGGTCATGTGCTTGATAATTTACCAGAAATTGACTGACACTATACCTCATGGTCATTATTAGCTTGAATTAAAGTGGTTATTGAAGCTATATAACTGCTGAAATTACAAGTTCGGAAACACCGACGGCCTAATAACTCCAGCAGACGCACTGAGATTCAACCCAACCTCAAGGTGATGTTTTTAAAACCCAAAAAACAATCTTAAGACAGGGCAGCTGGTTTTAATTTAAACTCTACACCAGTGTAATTTCAAGCAATTTCAGTTCAATTTCACCAGCCTTTGCTCGCATGCCTATTCCGGCTTCTTGCCTGTTATAATGATTACTGCTTTTGAACTGGGGGTTGCCTAGACAAGCTTCAGATTTGCATTTCAAAAGCAAAGCCTCTCTTGGAGCTATGTCCACCGACTGACTCTCTCTTTTCTTAGTCTGGGAAGATTAATTAGACAATAATGCGATGAAAGAAGCATTTCTCAATCTGTGGAGACACCAGCTTCCAAGCAACAGGAAGAGCTGGTGACTTTTTTGCAAAATCATAAATTATTTTGGTGCCAAATAGCCACATGCTGGCTTGGGAAGGATAGCCCAAGGCAGGAAAAGCGCCAAAGACCTCTGAAGCCTATTGGAGCCCTTGGGACTCATAGAAATCCCACATGAGTCATTCTGAAGTTCTGGAAAAACAGAGCGAGAAAGGAATGGACAAATAAAAGTTCAGGACTGAATAGGACTAAATTTTAAACATCTACCCGGGGTCATATTTAGCATCACTGGAGCACTTGATTTCCCACATTGCAATAGTTCTTTAAAATCTTTATGGTTATGAATCACCTAACAATGACCTCTTACATGCTAAAGGAGAGTTTTTCAAGTTTTATTTTAGGACTTCTGCTGGAAGCTAAATGGTTCCCAAATACTTTCTCATAGTTGTAAAATGGCCAAGACCAGCCCAAGTCATTGCTCTGCCTGAGGCTGAACACTAATGTATGCCACTCTCACTCATCCAAAGCCATAATGCCTGAAACAAGTTGACATGACACATGATGGAGAATTACAGAATCAAAGAGTAGGAAGGGGTCCCATAGGCCATGAAGTCCAACTCCCTGCTCAGTGCAAGAACTCCAGCTTAGGCATCCCCAGATGACAGGGGGGAAAAAAAAACCCAAGTGCCTCTCTCCATGTGTGTATATGTGCCTTCAAGCTGCTGGTTGACTTATGGCAACCCCATTAATTTCATGGGGTTTCTTAGCCAAGTGATACTCAGAGGTGGTTTTGCCAGTTCCTTTCTCTGAAATATACCCTACAACACCTGGTATTTGTTGGCCGTCTCCTATCCAAGTACTAACCAGGAATGAACCTGCTTACCTTCCAAGAGGAGACGGGATCTAGTGTCTTTAGGGCATTTAGGCCATGCCTTTGTCCACCCTAGTAGTAAAATGCAATATTCACAAATCAAATAACTATCAATTTGCCCGTTTTAATGACACTCCAAATCTGCTGCCTAAAGCATCTGCCTTACTTCATGCAGGGCCAGCCCTGAAGGCAATCCTGGGCCATGTGTTGAATCTACAATGGGTCTGGAACGGGCAGCCATAAACAGGCAAAGCATTTAACCTGTGGCCACCACCTCTTAGCAAAAGTGGGCAACTGCAGGAAAATTGGTTGTATCAGTCAAGGACGTCTTCTTGCCCGTCTTCACTTGGTCAATTTAGGAGATACTGCCTAGACCCTATCAAAGCTCCTGGGTCAGGTTGATGTGCTGAACCAAAGATCTTCGACAGGGACTGAGGCCAGCTTCATGGCTATTTTATTATCCTCACTTTTCACTAGCAGATTTCTATGACCCTACAGGCGATCCATATCCATTTAGAACTAATCCGTGATCCCTCAAGAAGGAGAAGAACAAAGGGCACTGACTCGCTTGGGAATGTGCATAGAAATAGCCACAAGATCTGAGAAAGAGGGGAAGGAGAGAGATGCTTTTCAGAATGATCATCCATCAAGTCTGGAGTGCAGTAAAAACAATTGAGCCACAGGGTATTTCCGAGGGACCCAAGAAAGGCGGGTGAGATTTTTTTGGAAGGCCCAGACACTGCACCACCCAACTGGCCATTAATCACCAGGAAATTCCATTTCCTTGATCCTTTCCCTGCTTTCCCCAAATTAAACCGAGACGGAGAGTCTTTTTTCTAGAGTCACCCCACCTTTCTAATGGAAGCTTACACTGCATTGTTGTGTAGCACTGTTGTTTGAACACCAGGAAAAGCCGCATTCTATGATCATGAGATGTATGAGGTTCCTATAGCAAGGAAGAATAAGGGAGAAGGTTGTCTTGATGTCTCACTCTCTGGCAATCCTTTTGGGCTCTCTCTCTTCCCCACATCCAAACCCACTAGGTATGGAAAAGGAAGATTTCCCAGTCACTGTCAGTCATAGGAGACAATAACACCGAGTGAGACAGACAAACTGTCTAACCAGGCAGAGGACAATTTCCTCTTTTGCTGTCCACCTCCGGCTTCTGGAGAGGGGAATCCCTGAGTCATGTTCAAATAATTTGCTCTCTTTTTCCCTTTTCTTTTCTTTCTCTCCCCCCCTACCCCTGGTCCATCATTTTATCTTGTTTTTGCTTATCATGGCTTGCAACAAAGAGCTCTGTGGCATTCCATACCCACCAACATTTCACAGACAAAAACCAGTACATGTGTGGCCAAGCAATGGCAGAGTGTATAATGTATATTTTATATGTATATAAAATAATGTATATTTTAATGTAAGCCACCCCGGCTGCGTTATGCAGAGGGGCGGGATAAAAATTATTATTATTATTATTATTATTATTATTATTATTATTATTATGGCCAAGGTTATTAATGAGGAAGAACACACAATCTAGGAGAGGCTGTTGCAGTTAGCTTTGGCCTGAGCCTCTTGGGATGGGTAGGATTCCACTCTTTCTGGGATTTGCAGGCATTTAGAATTTGTCCCAGAAAGCTCTAGTGCCTCACCACTCTACAAACCCCAGGATCCCATGGGATAGAACCATGACATTTTAAGTGGGCTAATAGTGCTATTATTCTGTATTGTGAACAGGCCCCCTGGCAGTTAAAGTGGAATCGTAACCTTATAATTGTGTAGTGTGTTAAGTTATCCCATCTGTTATTAGCAATACTATGGTTTTTACTACCACATCATCAAGGTACATGGGATTTGTTAAGCAATAAAGAATGTTTTCCTTCCTAATCAATTTATAACAGTCATTTCAGCCAGGAAGGTAAAGAAGGATGAGGAAAGAGAGCAGCCAGGTGTAACCAGCCGGCTGGAGTAAATGATACGTCACAAAATTAACACCATTTCTCATTGATGGAAGGCAAAAAGCCAGCTCCGTTTATTTTTGAATTACTTATTCTTGTGCCCAATTTTTTTTTTTTTTAAAAAAGTACAAGCCATGAGCAAGCCCTTAACTTTTGATGCTTTATCCCTTGATCAAATTGATTCAGTCTTGCACTCCCATTTGTGATTCAGTCAGAGCAAGACAGGTGACAAGGTAGCAGGAATCAGTTTGGAATTAGTTACAAACACATACAAACTTGTACTTAATTCCTTTCTGCAACAAGTAACACATAACTAGAAACAACGATGACATAACTGAGGGCATCATAACCGGGACATTTTATGATTTTATGCTTTATGATTTTATTATTTGATGCTGTTTTTAATACTATCCTAGTTTAATTTATTTTTAAGGGGTGGGAGGGTTAGGGGGAGTATTTGGTGATGTGTTTTACTCCTGTATTGTTTTAACCTGTTGTACGCTGCCCCAGTTGCCTTGCAGAGGGGCGGGTTAGAAATAAAAATTATTATTATTATTATTATTATTATTATTATTATTATTATTATTATTATTATTATTATTTTATGAGATGGTGTGACTCACCAAAAAAGAAAATAATACTTGATAAAGTGGAAGGCAGTAGGAAAAGAGGGAGGCTGCTCTACAAGTGGATTGATTCAGTCAAGGAAGCCACGGTCCTGAGTTTGCAAGACCTGAGCAGGATAGTTGAGGGCCAAGGATCTTGGAGGTTTCTCATTCAAAGGGTCACCATAGGTTGAAGCTGACTTGATATCAAATAACAGCACTTGAAGGCACACAACAACAAAAGAGCAATCTGCAAATGCAGAAACAGGAATTGTATTATGTGCGTATATATACAGAGAGAGAGAGAGAGAGAGAAATCTTTTGGTGTTGTACAATATGAAGTTCACCATTGTTGTTATCTGCCTTCCAGCCATTTTTGACTTATGGAAACCCCAAGGTGAACGTATCATTGGGTTTTCTTGGGAAGTTTCTTCAGAAGAGGTTTGCCATTGCCATCCTCTGAGGCTGAGAGAGTGTGACTTGCCCAACGTCAACCAATTCCAGGTTCCAGCCCAAGTGAGGAATCGAACCCTGATCTCCAGAGTCATAGTCCAACGTTCAAACCACTACACCATGCTGGCTCTCGAAGTTCACCTTAGGATCGCCAACGACTTGAAGGCACACAACAACAACAGCGACACCAATAATGTGATCATGGCCAATAACTATAACAGCAATTCACTACTTTGGAGGGGGGGGCCCTTGGAACTAAAACTGAAACTTAATCATGTTTAAGAGTCAGTTTCGAAGCTGTGAGCCACCTGTATTATAAGGGCAATCCATCATCATCCCAATAAGTCGATCTGGCAGAAAGAGACCTCTTTCAGGGCATCGGCCATCCAGGTGGCCTTCAGGTCTCAGCCTGAAAAAGCATCACCTGTCAGATGGAGCATGAGCCAAAATAAACCGCAATTACCTTTTGTGAGAAAACAACCGAATTAACATGTGCCCTGATGCAGATCTTTCTGTGCCAAGCAGGGCGGCCCATGGCCAAGATAGCCTCTGTTTTCCTCCCTCAGACATGCCAGCAAACAACGCCATAAAAGTTGCAGAAGAGGGCGGGGTGGGGGGGACGTTGCATTTTAAAGATTCCTGGGCTGGACAAAGCCCCCCATTCTCTCTTGCTTCCTCTGAAGCCAGGAAATGTCCACTGAGTCAACATAAAGAGTGGCTCCATAATAGCTTATTCATCAGCTCTTCATACTTGGAACTGACCTTAGCAGTTACCATGTTTGGAGCGCGGACCAGGCGCTGCAAAAGGCTACCCCCTTACCAAGTCTGCAAGACTGAAGGCAAAGAAAGGAAGAGACCACATTTGAAAAAGGTGGGAGA